GGAAGTTGTGAGATTGTTGCTGGAGGCTGGTGCTGACAAAGAAGCAGTAAAGACAAGAGTGGGGCAACAACATTGTTGATTGCTGCGGAGAGCGGCCACTTGGAAGTTGTGAGATTGTTGTCCTTTTGGAAGTGATTCCTGTGCGTTTGATAAACACGGCTGTTGGAGGAAAAGAACTCTTCGTAAACTAGCAACAGACTGTTTTGAGGGGGAGAAGCTTCATTTTGGAAAAAGCCATCCATGCCCAAAACGCAACAAGCTAGCAGCTAGAAAGGAACAGGTTTCAGCTCATGCATATGTGAAGTGAAACTATGCCTGGAACCCCAGTCCCAACCATAAACAATTGGATGTTCCAATAGGCATTTGGGATTTTTTGAAGATGGAATGGCTTTGACCGAATTGGATGATCGTCTAATCTAACTAGATCTAAGGATGGTTCGTTGACCAAGAATGACGAAATCCCTGTCGTCATCAGGGCTTGATCAGTGCCTCAGCCATTTGTCCAAATGGAGGCGCTTGACCCACAGCCATTTGTGTGTTAAATATACCTAGAACCTGATTAACCCCTGTTTCATGGTCTTTTCATATCAAAACAGAGGTCAAACGGGTTCTAGGTCGATATATATATATACTTACATACATCATACACACATATATACCAACACAAATATATATATATATATATATGCTGATAGCATGTTGTTGGTCGTTCTGAAAGTGGACATTATGGGCTAGTGGATCAACGAGAATTGTTTGGGGGTGCCCTTTGAGAGCCGGTAAACAAGAACATTACGATTCTAGACTGGAACTGAAGTCAATCCATCCAAAAATGGCCCCAAACCCAAAAGCATGACCAGTAGGAACCATGATGGTCCTACTGGTTTCCGAAATGGTCGAGAAACCCAGTGCCCGAGCTGAGTTCTGGCCCGAAGCGAACTCGGCTCTTCGCTTCGCTCGAACTCGGCTCGTCAGGAGGCTCGCTCCACCGCCAGCCCCTTGTGTCCCGGCCGGCTCTCCGCTCGCGTTCGCGTCTGTTCCGCGTCCCGCTCCGGCCGAGTCTGGAACAATCCACCCAGATGTTCCGGACCCGCAACACGATCCGGGTTTGGTTTCTGGGTTTGGCGACGTGACCCCTGTGAACGGTATTTGGTTCGACGTCCCTGGTTGAAGGTGTCCGAGTGCCTTGGATCCAACAGGGTGAGTGAGTGAGTTCACAGCCCGACCGATCCCGGTTCCGAGTTCTTCGACCCGGTCCGAGCACCTGAAACCCGTGTGCACGATCGCTTCAGTGTGGATCGCTTGAAGGATCTCTGCAGTGTTGGCGATGGTTTTTAAGATGTTCCTGGAACCCCAGCCCAACTGGAAACAAATGGTTGTTCCAATATGGCTTGCTTGAAATCCTTTACATAGCAAATGCAAATGGCTGGGACTGGGGAGTTTAAAGATGTTGAAGACACAGAAAATCACTCGCGCGGGGGCAGGCTGACTTGAAGACCGTGGTAAGTGTGAGCCTCGTAAAGTGTGAAGCCTTCTTGGAAAGTAGAAAGATGTGTGTGGGATTCCTTCCGAACCCAGACACTCTATGCATTGACCTCAGAAGCCACTCGAACATATATGCAAATATGGCATACATGGAGTGTTTGGGTAATATTGGTTGAGTGAGGGGTGAACTTCACACTTCCTTCACGTGCAGGAGTTCTTGCCATCACCAATACTATATCGACAATGTCAGACATCCATTTCGGCCGTGAGCTGTGAAAGGCCCAGCTGCAAGGCTATTGGTTCTCCTGCAAGGCTATTCCCTCCAGGAGCAATCTGAAAGGAGGAATCCCACACCTCAAGAGAGCCAGCCGTGGTAAATTCCGAGAACCTGGCACATGCAAAGCAGTTGGGAGGAAGAACTCTTGGAATCTAGAATGGGCACTTGGGAGGAAGGAACCTGGGTGTCAGAAAGACCTGGGAATCCTCTCTGCGGCTGATCCGCCAGAAAAATCGGATGATCGTCACCCTTCAGGACCAGCGTCCTTGCTCCTAGTAGTAGGGCCAGGAGCTCCTAGTAGCGATGCCAGGAGCCCCTAGTAGCGTCCTTGCTCCTAGTAAAGAACGCCCAGGTACATCGCGGCCTACAAGGGCCACACCGCCATCGTGAAGAGCTTGCTGGCCGCCCGAGCCTCCCTGGCCCCGCGAAGCGCGTCCACCGAAGGATCCACGCGCCGTGGCAGCAAAGGATCTAAGATGAGGCACTCACCCCACAAGTCTCACAGGGTTCCAAGAAGCTACTAGGAACAAGTGCATCGCTAGTAGTAACAAGTGCCTTACTAGTAGTAACAAGAAGCTATTAGAAACAATGTTCGCTACTAGGAACAAGTGCATCGTTCTAATTCTCTGGAAGTCCAATGAACGACGATGTTCCACGCCCTTCCGATTTCACAACCCAAAGGAACCCACAAGTCTCACCACGATTAGACCACGACCTCGGTGTTTCTAAGCTCTTCATGCCGCCACACCCCCACGGACCGGACGTCGACCCGATTCTGCTGGGCTCCTCGGAGTGAATGACACCCGCCCCAAACGACCCATTGCTCAACCGGTGACCCGCCGGTGCTGCCAACGAAACACACGTTTTCTTGTTCCTTTTAAAACTCATTGTCAATGGCTTTTCCGTGGTGGACGGAGTGTGCTGAAATATGGATTCACTCTTCCCCCACGCTTCCTGGCCCACCATTGATTGAATCCGGAACAACCATATCGTTTAACCATGGATTTTTGCAAAACCAGCTCAACTCATGTTGAAAATCAATGCTCCAACGGAAAATGCGCGTCTCTTGATCAGCTCCTTCTGGTCGTGCCAAGATTTCAGGACTCTTTCTCCGCTTCTGGCCGCGGTTGAGATGGCACACCTGGATACCTTGCAAGTCTTGCTGGACGCAGCTTGGAAGACACATGTACCACGAGTCACCTTCGACGGGGTGCCGAACGAACGGAGCATCCACTCACTGGATCGGACGAGCCAAACCACCCCTTTGTATGTACCTGGACCCTCCAAAGTACCTTACAAAATAGGACATGACCTCAAAAAAAACACAGGTACTTGTACCCATTTTCCGAGGTACTTTGAGACTCCAGGTAGATTTGATCCAACTGAAAGTCATAAGTATTTGGTCCACTTCGGATTTCGCCACGTGACCTGTGCGGGTCAATCCATCCACGAAATCTCGCAAGTCTCGGGGTCAAGTTGGGGTCAAGAAAGGACTCTCAGTCTCTTTCCATCCCAGACGCTCCATGTATGCATATGTATCATTACCAGCAGTCACAAGACGGGGTGCTTATTGGAGCTTAGGGGTGTCTATGATCCACTCACTGGAAGGGACTAAACGCCGCCCCTTATTTTGTGACTCCTGGTATAAATGCCTACATGGACCCCGACTTCAACCACCCCAATCTAATTATGTCAAGATGCCACGTCCGTCGATTCTCTGGGTGGATCCCCGTCGACGGGGTGAGGGACCCGGCACCGGCACCGGTGGTCCACCCTTGCATCTAAACCACTCGAGTGGCGACTCTCCAGCGATCGTGTCTTCTTTTGCTCCGAATTGCTCGGTGGGGGGACGTGCCGGTCGTGGCAGTCCGTTCCCTTCGTCCTCAGTGACCTCGCGCAGTCGGTGCGTTGGTCATGGAGACCCTGGAGGTCCCCCAGCCCATCGGCGCCCAACGCCCGCGATGAGGCAAAGGCCAACTTGGCCAAGGAGGGCATGACGGCGCTGATGGCGGCCATCAGACATGACAACGGCCAGGCGTGAGTTGCGAGGGGTGAAGAGGTGGGGGTGAAGAGGTGGAGACTCACCAGTCCTGTGATCTGCACACTGGAGATCTGTGACGAGGACGAGGGGTGTGATTGGTGTGCTGCAAGAAGCTCCGAAAGGGAAGCTCTTAGATGAGTGTGGGCCGGAGTTGAATACATCTTTGTTGGGACAGGGTGACAGGATTCTCTAGAATCCCAGGCATTTGGGGAGCACCGATCTGTTTGGGGGGGCCAGCCAGCCACCTGAGGTGTTCACGACTTGGTTGGGACCCTCCAAAAGTCCAAGTGCAAACAAATACAAACCTCTCCAGGACCATCCGACCATCGGGGTGTCCTGGCTGGACTACCCCACACGACCGGCCTAGGCTTCCAGACAGGGCACCCCGATGGTCGGATGGTCCAGGTAGAGAAGCTCACCCAGTAGGTGAATCCCTTGAAGACGAGATGTTTTTGAAGAAAGGCCAAGCAAGCGGTTTTGTTCAAGTAGGTCCTGTACTTAAAAGACCTGAGCGCACCAAGCTGGACTATCCATTCTTGATCCATTCTTCTTTTTTCTTGAGGGAAGTTCAACAGTACCCATTGATAAGTGTTTCATGTGTTTCTGTTCGATGGTGTTGACAATGATGTGAAAAGTGGCTGGCTGTGCTGAAAGTGGTCGATATCCTCCAATATCCTCCAAGCCTTGGAAGATTAACTTACGTTGAGGAATTCAGAGGATTGGGTTCATTTTGGGGGTTGACGCCAAAAGCGGTAAACAGAGACACACCCAGACGCTCCTGGACCCTCATATGCAGGGGTCGAACCCTCACATGGAGGGGTGGACCCAAACCAAACCCTATAGTTTTGAGGGACCCAAGGGCTCTTTGGAGCGTTTGGGCACCAAACCAGAACTGCCAGCTCTCGGCTCAAGTCGCTTCAGGTGGTGCAAAAGCTCTTGCAGGCAGGCGTGCCGAAGGACTGGAGAATTGAGAACGGTCGCCAGATGTCGCCAGATCTCGCGTCGCGCGTCGCACGGTCCGAGTCATGACGAACCGAATCGGTGAGAACTTCTGGCCCATCCACAAAGGGTCTGAAGAAGGGCCAAGGAACCTCTTCCACAACTAGCAAAAAGAGACAAAAACTCAGTGTTTTCGAAAAGTGTCGCCACACCACTACAAGTAGCTTTGACGCTAAAGAAGTGAATATGGCCCCTTCACTGCAGATCGCCTCCCTTTTCTTCCTCGAGAAGTTGTGTGTTCGATTTTCTGGGTGGCATGTGCCGCTTGTCGAACACCAACCAAGTTCTTCCCATAAAGGACCTGGCGAGCCTTTGCGTAACTTGTGGGAAAATCCTAAAAAGTGTTTTTTTTAATGCGATCTTCATGATCCGCAAGCACTTCTTCAAAATGCTGCTGGTGAGGTTCTGAATGTGAAGTGACTTCATCCTCGCATCAGTGGTCAGTGCATCCTGCAGGATAGTGGGTTCTTTGGGTTATAAACGGGAAAAAAATCCTTTTCCTGTGGCATGTCTGAGGCAAAAAAAGACAACATCGGACGCCCCGCCCACCACTCGGACCACCGGGCCGTTCGCTTCGGGACGTTCGCTGAAAGGACAAGCTGGACGCGGGGTGGGCTCCGATGCACATGGCCGCCAACTACAATGCCACTCAGGTGCTGAAAGTCCTGCTGGCACAACGAGCCTCTCGGTGGTGTTTGTGTGGTTGTTGTCATGTGTTTTTTCAGATGGGAGAAGCTGTTGTTGTTAGAAAGAAGAAGCACCGTGGACCTTCTCCATTGGGGAAGAAGTTCTGGAAAAGGAAGGCTCATTTTCCGGCACAAAATCTGGCTTGAAGAGTCCCTTTCCTATTCCAGTGGAAGAGGGTCTCAGGTTTGGTTATGAATCCTTTCCAGAATGAGAGCGCATGAGCTTTACAGGCTTTGACAAACATACCAAATATGATCCCCAACTGACCTCCGATATGTCAAGAAGTTGAACAGCTGAAGAGAAGAACCACCTGTCTTCTCCAGGACAGTCGGCTCATAGATGGCCCTTCAAAAACAGATACTTGGTTGATATCAAATGTACCAAGAATGGCATTCCAAGTGCACCAGCATTACTTCAAGCCTCTCTTTCCTGATGATGCGAGTTCTGAAAGGCACCAAATCACCCATGTTCCGTCGAACGGTACCTGGCATCGATGTCCTTCGTCTTCCCATTCCCAGTCGCTTTCGAGACGCAACGACCTCGAGGCTCAGCTGGAGCTCGCGGGCGGCAACGGCGCCACGCCGCTCTACGTGGCGGCGAAGAACGGGCACAAGGAGGTCTTGAGCGCCCTGTTGGAGGCGATCGAAACCAGCCAACGGGGCAAGACAAACGGGGGAGGAGAGAATCTACGACGTAGATTAAAAGACATACTCTCCCTGGAACTAACATGGAAGTGGACCACCCCCTGTTTGTAGAGGAAAGTGGTCTTCCAAGGGGCCATTCTCCACTTCCATGTTAGTTCTAGGGAGTGGATCACATCCAAAAATCCTATCGCCCAAGTGAATCAAAACCCATATCAAAACCTGTAAAAAAAAAGTAAGATTTTGGAGACCTGTCTCGGGGCATCTGATGTCATAAAGGTCTCGTGGCACGATGTGGCACGAACGTCCGGCCCGGTAGGTGTGTGCTTTTTTGGAACCTCCCCCAGAGAAGCAGAATCAGAGTGTTCAGATGTGGTCGACCATGTGTCTTCCATGTGTTCCTGCAGTCTCTGGAGGTGGTTCCTGTAAGTGACTTGACTCAGCAGGCTGCTCTGGAGGGACAACTCCGGCAGGGCGGATCCTCAAGCCGAAAACCAAGGGATGAAAAAGAAACATCCACCGGATTTCCAGTCACAGTGCAAGATTCCTTTCTACAAGAAACTACCAAATGGGGGTTGGATTTTCGTGGGACCAGACCTGCCAGGTGCGCGCGGATCCACAGAAGGTGCGGAAGGATGGCTGGACGCCGCTGCAGGCACGGTTTTGCGGTAGAGAAGCCTGATGAAACGAAGACGAGCCGTTTCACTGCATGATGCGATTATGAAACGGCCACAAAAGATGAGACACGTACCTGGACCATCCAGTCAGGGTGCCCTGTCTGGAAGCCTATAGGTATAGTGTGGAGTAGTCCAGCCAGGACACCCCGATGGTCGGATGGTCCTGGTATTTCTAGCCAGTAGATAGACTTGGTTTATGCCTTGAGCTTGAGGTAGATAGACGAACGCAGCATGGCCTCAAGCATGGCCCACTTGCAGCATGAGAGTCCGACTTGATGCCTTGCAGCATGGCCAGTTGCTTCGCCTTTCTGAGCTCCGTTCCGAACAGATCGAGCCCACCCCATGGGACCACCGGCGACGCACCGAAGAGCCGATGTCGGCGGCGCCGAGCTCGCTGAAAACGGGTCCAGATGGGTCCAGACTGGCGGCAGGTGGCATGCAGCCAGGGGCACGTGGAAGTGGTGCAACAGCTCCTGCAGGCGACGCTAGGGGGAGGGAAACAGGCGGTGGCGGATGCGTGCTGGAAGGGTGGAAGGGGTGGAGGGGTGCTAATGTGTGTTCTTGGATGAAAAAGAAGAAGTTGTTGGGTCTGTCCTGTTACCTGTCCCCTAGAAGTCCAGTTCGACCATTTTTTGACCGACTGAAAGTCAAGGAAATTCCGAACTTCGGGTCACCGTTTGTCGGACCATTCTTCTTATGGTCTTTGATGTCTTTGACTCCCCGATTGTCAACAGCAACTATTCAAAAAGCCCTACAAAGCGCCCTGATCCAAAAGAATTCCCAGACACTCCATGGGACTGCCATATATGCCCACATTGACCCCTCTGGCACCACCCAAACTGATCGGCAGTCCTCTGGCAGTCCCATTAGTCGTGTCTGGGTGATGGGATGTGGGGGCCTACTCCTGGAACCCCAAACAACCAGAAAGAAATGGATGTTTTCCCAAACAACCATTTCCTATGTAAAGGATTTCAATTGCCATATTGGAACAACCATTTGTTTCTAGTTGTTTGGGGTTCCAGGCTGATCTCGATGCACGTGGAGGTCAGTCCAAAGAGTCACGTGGCGCAGCGGCCAGTCGAATCGCGTCGCTCCTTGACGGGTGGAAGTTGCGCCGTCCTGAAGTCCGTGAAGGCCATGGTTTTTTTAACGGGAAATGATATCTGGTTTTGTCGTGGTAAATCCTCAGTAAAACAATGTAAAGCAGTACTTGGTTCGGAAACATATATGAAATAAATGGTGGTTCGACTTCTAGGGTCAAGGTTTGAATCAATCGGACATCTTTCCAGTGTTTGCCCGGTGTTTGAGCCCGAAGAAGACCAAACATAGCTGCGAAAGGGCTCACATGTTCTTATAGTCTCTCTTTGCAGTGAGCTGGGCAGTGATGGCACTGGCTTCACAGGCCTTTCCTTACTTCTTTGGCATACCGAAAGCAGCCACATCATGGTTCTGAGCGGAATGTTCACTACTGAGGAACATTCTCAGTTCGACTTCCCCAACAACAGATCATGTAAAGGACCCCTGCAGGACAACGGCCCATGCTTGAAGAAAGCTGGCCCAAAATAATAGGGCGCGGTGCTTCCGAAACTGCGAGACCGCAGGCGGGCGTCGACAAGAATAAGGCCAAGGAGACTTGGCACGGATTGAACTTCTGCCTTGTCGTGCCCTCATTGCGGGAAAAAAAGAGCTGCGGTTCAAAGCGTGCGCAAACAGAGTGGACGGGTAGCTTCGAATAGCTTCGAAAATCCAGTCTGGCGAGCACTTGCTGCTTCCCTGCACCGTTTTGCTACAATCTAAGCCATGCCCTCCCAGATACAGTTGACTTTTTCCAGAAAGAATTCGCGCTTTGTCACCAGTTTCCATGAACCGTTGATCCAATCATCACTTCCACTCGCCGAGGAGAATGGCACGACTCCCCTCTTCTTGGCTTGCAGTCAAGGTCACTTGGAGGTGGTGCAGTGTTTGCTGGAGGCACGTGCCGACAAGGACATGAGATGACACGAGTGTGGCATGACGAGTGTCGGTCAGCTTCTTGCAGGTATGTCATGTATGGTATTTTGGTGTTTTTTGTATGTAAGACCATTTTAAACATATATAGTCTTTGGGTGATGCAAAAAAAATAAGGCATGTCCTTTACTTGCGTGGTGCCAAACAAATCGTCGAACTGGACATCACTGTATATATAGGGTCTTCTTGGTGGTCTTCTTATATAGTGCATAGCAGTTGTCCCATATCCCCCAACATCGGCTGAAGCGGCCGCATCGCTCCCCACCGCTCCAGGACAAGGCCTCCGAGCGCCGTGGGGCGCCCCTCCACGTGGCGGCGGCCAACTGCCACGTGAAGGCGCCGTGGGAAACGGTTTCAGAAGACTCCTCAAGAGGCGCTCAAGCAGGTGCAAAGGGTCAATTATACTCAAACTATACCTGGCTAAGCCAACAGAGAACCTGAAAACGGAACCATGGAAGACAAACTGTTTCGGGTGCATCACTGGTTGGGGTATGTCCTTCCATCGGAAAGATGGACTACTGTACCATTTTTTGTTCGGGTGAGAGTCGAGGCACGGGTCTGGTATGATGGTGTCGACTCTCTTTGGTGTCAGTCTTCCTTGGTGGGATCACATCACAGATGCTCCGCCTTGACTACTGTCATGAAAAGTCCACTCGCTGAACCAGTGCCCGGCCGGAAATGTGCATCAGAACCCGTAGCATCTTTGGTCACCTCTTAAGTGACCGTAAATACGTCGGCAGCTGTACACGCCCTAGGGATCCAGAAATGGAAACCTCCTGAAAAGGTACGACTGGACCCGACCATGGCACCCACCCCAGTCCCACCGAACCTGAGAGGGTACGACTGGATCCGGACAGAGGTCACCCGTTCGAGGCGACCCGAGGGACTCGTTCGGCCTCAAAGCGGGACTGACTGGTCAAATGGGGTCGAACTCAGTCACCTTGCCGGTTTGGTTCGGGACCGGGAACGAAAACGGCAGCGCTTTGGGTACTGTCCCTCTAAGAATCCAAGTGGATCACCCCCATGTTAGTGGCATATAGCTGCCTTCCAAGGGGCTGTGGTCCACTCCACTCCCATGTTGCTTGGAGAGAGGCTAATTCAATGCACCTGCTGGTTGCTGCGTGGTTGCTGCTTGGCAGGTCATCAACTGCTTGTTGGAGGCCCGTGCCAAGGTGAACGAGACCCGACAAGATGGCTGCACGCCCTTATTCTTGGCAGCCAGGAGAGACCAGCAGAACGGAGCTTCATGAGTCGAGTCGAGCCGGGACGCCGCAGGGTGTGACCTTCGTTCGCGTTTGGACGTGCAGGCGCGGCTGGAGAGGGGTCAGCTCCTCCGGTTTCGGGTAGAAGCATCGTAGACGTCCGCGAGGCGGTGAGGTCACAAAAGCTGGGAGTCCCTGGTAGGGTTGACCATGATCATGTAGACTCGAATTCATCAACCCCCCAGGCCTCAAGAAAAGCATGTCCAATTCAAGCCTGGGAGGGTGGGGTTGTCCTGGTCTTCAAAAGTCGAGTCTAGTTGTTTGAGACCATCTGTTCAGGGCTCCTGCGGTGCCATGACACGTGGACCGGTGCCGGGACGTGGGGCTCACGTGGACCGCGTACACCGTGGCACAGGAGTGGGTCACCACAGGCGGTGACGTTTCTGCTGAATGCCTTGGCAGATCAAGAGAGGTGCCTGGGCAGTGCTGGGCAGTGCCGTTGGAAGGAAGCAGTGGATGACGTCATCAGGTGGATGATCGATCTCAGACTGAAAAATGGTGACCTGGACCATCCAGTCGGGGTGCCCCTGTCTGGAAGCCGGTAGTGTGGGGTAGTCCAGCCAGGACATCCCGGTCCAGGATGGTCCTGGGAGACATCTCTGGTGACATAAGGGCACTCAGCCAGCGAGTGTGGATGGGAAGCAACCGGCTGAATTCATGAACGCAAGAGTTCTCTACTTCTTTTAAATGTCTACCATTCAGGTTGGTACACTGGCTTTTTGCAGCTGGATTTCCACTCTTGCTAGGAGATCTCAAACATGTGTCTTTGTTGAAGCAAGAGCATTGTTGGGCATGAACAGGCTTGAATATACTGAGGAGTCTTGTGGGATGTAGTACCTACCAAGTCAGCGGGTGACCCCTTAAAAGGCACACCACTTCAAACCCAATCCCGGTGCCCAGGTCGGTGAACCGTTCGAACACCCCGGATAGGATCCGAGTTCGGACCCTCCAAGAAGGGATCCAAACCCCTGCTGTGAACGACGGGGTGACGTGACTGGGGCCCCGTTTCGTTCACCCTGAATTTTTGGAGGGTCCGGATCCTATCCGGGTGAACCAATTCCGTGTTCAGGACGAGACTAGACCGACTAGGTCGGAACCTGAGAACTCATCAAGTCCGGAGAAGCGAGTCGCAGGGGACATGCGAGGCGAGGCGCAGCGACACAACAAGCTGCGAAACACCACTTCCAGGACCACATTCGACCGTGATCTGCTCCCGAGTTCGGAAAGTGGGAAGAGCTTCGAAGTCTTAGGCCAAGTCTTACGCGACTGAAACATACAAGAACTTACCCTATAAGTGAAGGAAAGTCCTTTTCGGGTCACCCAGAGACTATATGTTCAACATAGTCTTGGACTTCCAGAGCCAAAACCGCCGTTCTGGACGCCTCGTCCGTCCTCGCGGCGGTCTTCGCGGCGGAGGTGTCAAGAAGACGGCTTGCGACCGCTGCAGATCGCGGCAGCAGGAGCCTCCCGCCGGGTTCGATCCGAACGCCGTCTGGGTGTATTTCTAGCAGAAGACCTGGCCCTGGCTGGGCAGACGGGTGTTTGTTCCGAACCGAACCGTCCGAGGGTCGGGGTTACAACGCGACGCCTGGCAGCGTTCCCCTTATCAAAACCATCCAGTTTTCTAGGTCCTAGGTGATGGTTTCGGAGATTTGTGATGTTCAAACCTTTATTTTGGATGATTGAACCCAACCCCATAGATGTTTTCAAGTGGCGAAAGCACCAACCAATTGAGATCTTTTTGGCTGTTACGAGCTGTGGCTCCGGCGCCGCGACGGCGTCGCTACGGGCCAGGCGTGATCCAGGTTCTTCCCCAGAGCGGGGGAGTCACTCGGGAGCCACCAAGGGAGTTCGCCCAAGGCCTTGCTAGTTTGGGGAAAGACCAACAGGTGAGTTGGAAAGGACTTGCAACTGGCACATCCCCTTCCGTGGTGGGGGGATCTATCCGTTCTGATGGGTTGGCACTGTCTTTTGAAGATTACATTTTCGGATGGAGGAGTTGGAATGACCGGCGGAAAAAAGACCAAGTAAGAGACGAAAATCCTCACGGTCCTCATGGGTCCCAGGGTCCTCGCCGACTTCCAGACTGTCCAAGTTCCAAAAAGCACCAGTTTGACTTCCAGCCGAGGGGTGAAGAGCTTTGCACCAGAGAGAAAGGACCACTTACACCACCACCACCGTAGATCCCCAAACAGCTTGCCGTCCGCGCACATGGTCAGTGGCACACATGGTCCATGGCCCAGCGACCAGAGAGCTGGAAATCGGACCCGTTGGCCGCAGCAAACCTGTCGCGACGGGCGACCAGGAGGGCATGTGGAGACGTCACGCATTCTGCTGGGCTTTCAGCAATACCCGAGCCGCTCCGATGCAGGAAGAGACATGGCAAGATGGTCAAGAAAACATTGCACTTGATTGGACTTGGGATCATGTTCCGAGCTGTTTGGAGAAGGAAAAGGAAGAAACTATCCGTTCTTTTTGGGGCGGGGGGTCCAAATCACGTTTTTGGGGTCGGAGGAGAGTGTGATTTGGCGATCGCGATCGGCTTCGACGGATTGCCCTTTTGAGCCCTGTCCGTCCACATCCCCAATAGAATCTCGACTCTGCGCAGGGAGCGAGGTGATTTGCACCAGGACGTGTCATTCTTCCGGCCCGGACGCGAATTCCTTCGGCCCCGAACCGACCCGAACCGATGGTCCGGGGTCGGTCCGGGGTCTGGACCTTCTCATCCGAACTGGTCAGAGGTCTGGACCTTCCCTCACCAATCCCTAGGGCCCTAGGGGGTCAAAAGAATCCGAACGTGCTTCCTCCATCGAACCGCAGGGGGCCCGGTTCACCACCCCGGCGTTCCAAGGGGGCGATTCTTCGAATCCGGACAGCGACCCCGGACTGGAGGGTCCGGACGATCAGGCCAGTTGGAGGGTGACCTGGTTTCACCCAGTCCCAGAAAGAAATCGAACTCCCCAGCCCCAGGCATTTCCTATGTTTAGTAACTTTAGTACCTGGTTCTTCAAAGTGACCGTACTTGATAACCTGGTTTGAGGTCACTTAAGCCTCCTAAGGGTCACTTAGGAACCTTCAAAAGGTCACTTTGAAGAAGCTGGTAAAGGCATCATATTTGCCGTATTGGAATAACCATGTCTTTCTGGTAGCTATTGGGGTTCCAGGTAGCTATTGGGACCAATCCTGAAGGAGAGCATCAACCCCACAACGCAGAGTGGTGCTGAGAATATCACGGTGGCGGCGAACACACGAAGAACACATCCCAAGAAGGGCAATCAGCGTCACCAAACCGAGGGCTTCAACCGGAACTCGTTGCTTGGTCGGAAGACCTCCCAGCATCCACCCAAAACGAAGACCCCGCATCGAAACAGGTGAGGAGCTGGAGGAACGCAATGTCGCTGCCGAGCGCGCCGCCGCGGAGCGCGAGCAAGCCGCGACGGCGCACGCGGTGCGCGCCGTGAGCGGGCAACAGTGGGAGAGCGCGTCGAGCATGGTGAGCGCGGCCATGGGCGAATACAGCGCTGCGTTGCTGGGTCCGACCAATGGATCCATGTGCCTCGACTGACCGGACTGAGCTCGGCGTAGCCAGTGTGGCAGTGTGGCAGTGGGATGAAAAGGGTCTAGACCTGGAAGTGAGTGGAGGTGAAACTGATCGAATTCGTACAGTTGGATGGTTTGAAGCTTCAGGGACCTAGGCTTCAGGGTCTCCAAAAGCCTCATGCAGCTTTGGATTTCTGGATTTCAGGGAACATCTACTTGATGTGACCGGCCGGTTGACGGATCTCCAGTTGACCCTCTCAGAACCCCCAAGCGAATTCACAGCGAATCCGCAGACGTTCGATGCGGAGTGAGCGGCCGCGTTGTCTCGGCCTCATTCGAAAAAGGAGGCTGCGCGGCTCGGCAGGTCATTCAGGAGATGTCCAAGAGAGGTAGGATAACCTGGGGTACCCAACTGAGATCGTCTTGTTCAGGTTCTTCAAGACCTGAAGGGTCAGGGACCCCCAGCCGGGGTGACCAGGCGACCAGTCACTCTTCGCATTGTCCGACCATTCCTGGCCAATCCGACCGGGCAGGAGGGCAGGGGGATCACTCAGGCCATCTCAGTAATGAGATGGTTGATGTAAACAAAACCAAACCTCCCAGGACCATCCAGCCTATAGGCTTCCAGACAGGGCACCCCTTGGATGGTCCAGGTCCAAAAATCGTGTTGGACATGTTTTTTTTCGGCATGGAGGCTAGAGTCTCTCGACGCACCAGCTTGTTTGACAGAGAAAAAATAACTAATCAAAGATTCCATCGTTCAAGTTCAAGCGGTTTTGAGAAATTAATCAGTTGAGTTGTGTTAAAGTCCAAGGAATATGAAATGCACCGGTGATGTTCTTGTCCTCAAAAATTCCAGGTTTCATGCAACTCCCCGTCCCAGTTCCTGACCACTTACTAAAACCCAGCTCAGTTGACAGCATCTGCAGTTGACAGGTTGCATAGCCAAGCGGCGCAGCTGGATGATGAGAGCCTCCAAGTCATAGGCCGCTGGCCCCGGGCCGCCGGTGCCGCCGGTCGGTGCCACGGAGGGTCCGGATGAGACCGGTCGGTTTTTCGGGTGAAGGCGACACGGAAAAGAGATGGAAGAGGATGTCCTTGGCCAACGAACTGTTTCTAGGTGATGGTGTCAGATATGTTTATTTTCAACCCCTACTTGGGGATGATTGGACCCTCTGACTAATATGTTTCAAGTGGGTTGAAAACACTAACCAGGTTTGTTTGGAGTTCTATGTAATTATGCTGAGGGTGTACGATGATCGCATCCCCAGGGCAGTAACAGTAACTTGGTGACAACTGGAGTACTTAAAGCAAAAGTGGCATCGGCGGGGTTTGTGGCCAATTCATCAAGAATGACGTGCAAAAAGTCGTTTGTGTTCTTTCTTTCCTGCTCCAGCTTTCATTTGGACCAGCCACGGCAAGGCACGCTTCTAGTAGACGGCCTTCACGAAGCACTCCAAATCCCGGCCATGTTGCACCCTTTCTTCGCCAGGCGAGATGAGCTTCAATGAGCAGTTCCCCGCAATGGAAGAACTGCCCGGTGCGCCCAGCCATGCCCAGCCTGGTTTCGGGGTCACAGCCGCAGCATAGGAGCTCCAAAAAAGCGCACGCCGAAGGTGCACCAGCATGCTTTCCGATGACACGGACTCACTCAAATGCGCTGTCCACCAAGGCAGCGCAAAACCGCATTGCACGGCGACATCACACAGACGTCATTTAGCCACACGGTGTGCCACAGACTAGAGACAACAATGCAACAGCAAGCCTTATCCGACATGGATCTGTTGGTAAAGACAAACAATCAAAACCAAGCACCCCGCAAATCACGGCTACTTCTTTCCCCAGATAGCGTGACCTATTGGGGTTCTTGCTTCAAGTATAGGAAAAGCTGCATGCGCGCGCGCGCGCGCGTGCGAGCCTGGGTGCTGGCCTGGGCTTTCACATCGATCTTCACACCCGCACTATCACCTATACATTCAACCGTCACAACCGTGGAAAATCCATGATGCCACATCCGCTGGCAGTCAACGGCTTTGCCTTTCAGGCCTAGCATCCAGGATACACACCATCAACAAGTACACCTTCCCACCGACCGCTGAGACAGCACTCCGGCAGCTGATTGAACTGTTCACCAAGGGACACCCAGACACGGCTTGCTGGCGCTTTTTGAAAAAGTTTGGAGCGAGAGCGCGGCCCGCTGGAGTACGTACTTCTTAGCACTTACTTGACAGATGCAATCGGCAGGGGGTGCAAGCCCATCCAGTCTTGCACCAACGAAGACGCTCGATGTGTGCTGGTGAAATCGATTTGGGATGCTCAATCGACGTACCTGCAGCTGTGCATGATGCTAAACTCTACGTAAAGCCAAAGCTCTCTCCTTTGTTTTTGCAGTAAACGTCTAGTGCAGTCAAGGGCTAGTGCATCGGCGAGTCACTTTCTGAAACTAATGCTCCTTCATGTGAGCTATGAGTCTAAGTGTGTGTGCTTTTGAAGAGGAATATGTTTTTCCCGAAAGCATTGCGAAGGGTTCTTCCGGAAAATCCTTTGAACACTGACACTTCGACACTTACACTCAGACACACCTAGACATTGACACTTTGACCACACTGGCAGGATAAAAAACATGAACGCTATACGTAGCCCTGTGTAGGTGGAAGAGCGAAAGCTGTCAAAGTATGCAAGTGGAAGTATGCAAGTGTAAGTACGGGTATGAGTATGCATGCAATGAGTATGCAAGCATGCAATGAGTAGGCAAGTGAACTAGCACGGGAGATGTCCTAATGAAAAAACATTTCCCCACTTTATAAATTCTCTCTTAAAGGCGGAGGGTGGGACGAACAGCGTCAACCGAAAGTGCAACCCTCTGCGGAGATCGTGCGTGTCGAGTGCGCGAAATGCAGG